GGATAGAATATACTTCTTCTTTGCAAAAGGGGCAAACTTTATATCCTGTGAGTGCTTCAACGTCTGTAATTCTGTCAGCGTGAAGTTTTCCACATGGACTCTGTGTTAATAAAATATTTACTGTTTCAAATTCTGGATCTATCATTATTGATTCCACTAATGGAAAGTCTACCTTGTTAATGTCTACGTCTTCTGGTTGAGGGTCACAATAATAAAAATCAATATTAACGTTTAACATTCTTGCTAACCTCTCACTTTCTGATGAAATGTCAAAACCCTTCATATGAATCTATTGCTTCATTTAAATAGCTTCTACGAGTTTTAGGATTAACACCATCAGGAATGTTATAGAAGCGTTTAAATAACCTTCTACCTTCTGCTCTAATTTGATTATCATTCATTTTAGCTGTTCCATTTTTGTTCATTTATGTAAGAATAAAAATTAAAAAATAAATAAAAATAAAGTTTATTTTTTTTAAAGTCCGAGACTCAGAGAGTCCAGGGCTAAAGTCCATAAAATGAATTAAGAACACATAAATTTTTATCATCTGCGACGTGACGAATACATTTTAATTTACTCAAAATGCGTACCCTGATACATTAAATCTAATTTCTGTCTTATTTAATTTCACAACTTTGAAAAGGAATGTATGAATAGCTATAAAATGATGAGAAGATGTTTTATGGGTTGCTTCCATTTTTTCTGAAATAAATGAATAAATATAATGCTTATACGTTTTCATATCTTTTATATTCTTAATAACGAATGGTATAGACCTTTCCACTTCGTCTTCCTTCGGTGCTGTTCTTTCATATGAAACATTATTGGTATCTTCAATAATGAAACCACAATCGCATAAAATTTTATATGTACCAATTGTTTCTTTTGATATTTTATCTAATAAATCAAAAACTTTATCAACGCCTGTGCATTTATTTAAATAATAATTTGTGTAAATATCATGGTCTTCTTTCTTAATCGTATTTGTTGCATATGTTACATTTTTCAGTGCTTTTTTGAATTTTTCAGAATCAATAGGAGGTGAAAGTAATATACATGGATAATCTCCATCGTCAATAAACTGAAGCTTATGTTTATGAATAAATTTTGTGCCTTCTTCTGAAAGTGTTTCGTCAATATCACCATCTAATAAATTTTTAGTAGATTCCAAAAAGTAATTTTTATATCTTTCCTCATGTGATTTTTGAACTTCTGATTCTGAAGCTGGGATATTCATTAAACCCTCTACTTCATTCTCAGCATTTCTCAATTCACTAATTCTTTCATCTATTTCATTTCTTAATTGTTCCAATTTCTCAATCTCATCGTTATAATATTCATCTTGTTTAATTTTTTCTTCAAAATATTCAGGAGGTGTTTCAAGGCTCTCTGAGCCCAGGTCCTCTGGACCATAAAGAGGAATATTCTCCTGTTTTTCAACTTTTTTGGGATATAAATATCTCATTATAGCCTTTTTAGTAATTGGTCCGTTATATTTAAATTCATTCAACAATCTGGAAAACTCTTTCACATTCTGCATATATGTTGGATAAGAACCGTCTCCAAAATTTTCTAAAATATTTTCTAATTCTGAATTAGTGAACTTTAAAGATTTCAATGAATTAGTTGTTATACTCATTTATTATAAAATAAAAAAATCTAACTTTATTTTTTCGGAGTTTTGTGACGAAGTGCGAATCTTCACTTCGTCAAAAATATATTCTTTTTATTAATGGTAATATAGGAATTGTAGGAATAAAAACTTTTTATAAATTATTCATAAATTTTTAAAATCGGTTTCATACAAAATAAAAATAAATTTTCATAAATGTAAGACATGAATTTTTAAAGTTTATTTTTTTTATTTCATTATGTATGGGCTGAGTGTAAATGTCTTACAATTTTGAAAATTTTTTAAATCTTGATTTATTCAAAAACGTAAGAATAAAAACCGTAAGAATCATACATTTTTTACTTCATATGTTAAAAAAATGATACAAAATCGTTCAATATTGTATGAATTCTTACGTTTACAAAAAAAGTCACACAACCCTTCAACATATACTACTATCAATGGAGTCATAATCAAAGACCTCATAAACGAGTAAAAGATTCACTACCATAATGAAATAAAAAAATAAAAAATAAACTTTAAAAATTCATGTCTTACATTTTTGAATAATTTATTTTTATTTTGTATAAAATGAGTGTCAAAACTAACAACGTTAAAAAATTAGGATTCACAAACGAGGAAATAAAGGATATATTAGAGGAGGCGGGTTATGAGGTTGATAAATATTATTTAAGAAATTGTCAAAAATTCGCGGAGTTTTTAAATGAGTTTGATTATGATGGAAAAATGAATAAAGATGATGTTATAAATTTCTTATATCCCACATCTAAAGAAGAAAAACCTAAAGAACCTGATGTTTTCCCTGAATATTATGAAGAACGGATTAAAGATGATGATGAATACAATGAAATTGAAAGACTGGAAAAAATAAGAGATGAAATAGATGAAAAAATTAAGGAATTAAGAGAAGTTGAAAAATATAATGAAAATGAAGTAGAGGGTTTAATGAATATCCCAGCTTCAGAATCATAAGTTCAGAAATCTCATGAAGAAAGATATAAAAATTATGTCTCAGAATCAACACAAAATTTATTAGATGGTGAAATAGATGAAACACTTTCAGAAGAAGGTACTAAATTTATTCGTAAACATAAGTTACAATTTATTGATAATGAAGAATACCCTTGTATCTTACCGTTCAATCCTTAAACTGAGTGAAGCAAAAATAAAAGAATTTAATAGAATAAATAAATTGATTGGAAGAGATGAATTTAATAAAGATGAATTTTTAAACTCAATCCAAATTTAATTTTTATTCCTCTTTGACAACATCTCTCTTTCCATCATTACTGCATAACCGCATTTTCTCAATTTTAGTGGTTTGTTATTTTTAGCAAGTTCTCGCATCATTTTTATCGTTTCCTCCCTTGTTATGATTCGTGGTAAATTTTGAGCTTGTGGGGTATTCATTTATGATAAAAATAAAAATTTGTTATCAGTTATTTTATCGTTAATGGTTTTTAGGTTATTCAATAATTAATTATTTTTGAAGAACCGAAGGTGCTACCATGTTACCATGTGCTACCAGGTCATTTAACTTCTCTGAAAAAATGAGACAACATGACATTTAGACAACAACACAGGAGGAAGGCATTTATGAATTATTTTTGAAGAACTGAAGGTGCTACCATGTTACCATGTGCTACCAGGTCATTTAACTTCTCTGAAAAAATGAGACAACATGACATTTAGACAACAACACAGGAGGAAGGCATTTATGAATTATTTTTGAAGAACTGAAGGTGCTACCATGTTACCATGTGCTACCAGGTCATTTAACTTCTCTGAAAAAATGAGACAACATGACATTTAGACAACAACACAGGAGGAAGGCATTTATGAATTATTTTTGAAGAACTGAAGGTGCTACCATGTTACCATGTGCTACCAGGTCATTTAACTTCTCTGAAAAAATGAGACAACATGACATTTAGACAACAACACAGGAGGAAGGCATTTATGAATTATTTTTGAAGAACTGAAGGTGCTACCATGTTACCATGTGCTACCAGGTCATTTAACTTCTCTGAAAAAATGAGACAACATGACATTTAGACAACAACACAGGAGGAAGGCATTTATGAATTATTTTTGAAGAACTGAAGGTGCTACCATGTTACCATGTGCTACCAGGTCATTTAACTTCTCTGAAAAAATGAGACAACATGACATTTAGACAACAACACAGGAGGAAGGCATTTATGAATTATTTTTGAAGAACTGAAGGTGCTACCATGTTACCATGTGCTACCAGGTCATTTAACTTCTCTGAAAAAATGAGACAACATGACATTTAGACAACAACACAGGAGGAAGGCATTTATGAATTATTTTTGAAGAACTGAAGGTGCTACCATGTTACCATGTCTACCAGGTCATTTAACTTCTCTGAAAAAATGAGACAACATGACATTTAGACAACAACACAGGATTAATGCAATAAATGTCAAATCATACTTTATAAAGCATCATTTACAGGTATTTCATCGTCAGTAAATGAATCCTCATTATCGTTTGGTTCAACCTGTTTATATATAATCCTTTCATTTCTTCTTTCAAAACATAACACCATGTTTGTTTATCGTCTATTCTTCTATATTTCCTATCACATTTATCCTTAATGCTCATTTGGAAATTCTTGTCTTTCATGTCTGATGGTTTGCAGAATAGAGCATTTTTACACGTCATACCTGCACACAATTCATCATAATGTGTATTTATCCATACATCTAAAGGATTTGTTGATAATTCAATTAAATCTTGTTTGGCTTCAGTCATCGGTATGATTCGTACATTAAATGATGAAAGGTCGTAATTGATAAAATATGTTAAAAGGTTATCATAAAATTCCTTTGTGCATGAATCCATTAAATTCTTGAAATAATCAAATTGACCCTTGAATTTACCATTAACTCTTAAAACTACGTATCTTCTGTCTCCAACTTCAATTTTGACAGGGTAAACGTTATTAGTTACGAAAATGAAGTTTGCAACATTCTGAGCTGTTCTTCTGGGTTGATTCTTTTCATTAATTCTAATCTCATTATCCGTTATAATTGATTTCAAAGCGTTGAAGTTTGCGAGTCTATCTTCACCTACATTCTTGAGTTCATTAAGTACAAGAAACATTTTATTCTCAACTACTGAATTGAAATTACCCGTTAGCTCACTTATTTCAGTAATGTTTTTACATGAATAACCGGCGAGGAGTTCAGAAATAATGTCTGTGAATCTGTTTTTACCTGTTCCCTGAAGTCCTTTCAAAATAATTGCTGTTTCATTCTTGATTCCAGGATGTTGAATCATTGATGCAATCCAGCCGAGAAGGTATTTATACACTTCATCGTTATTATCACAAATGGCTTCTTTAATGAAATTCATAAACATCTCAATTTTTGAGTAATCAGGCTTTTCGAGAATGTTGTATTTATAACCCTGAAACGTTGAGAAAACATCTGGAGAATCAGATTTAAAGCAAACACCCTTAACGGTTAATGAAGACAATTGATTTAGTAGTACGTCCCATGCTGTTATTGTTTTACCTTCTTCTTTAAATAATTTAATCATTTTAAGTGACTCTTTCATGTTTGATTGAAGAACGAATGATATTTGATTCATTTTATCATGAATATTATAGTCCTTTTGAATGAAATATTTATTTCCACAATCTACAAAACGGATTACACGTGATAAATCCTCAATTACTTCAGAACTGTTTTTATACTGATGATTTTCAGCCTTGCGTCTAATATCTGTTATCAAAAACGAGTCATCAAGTTTGATATCAAATGTTATTTTTGGCTTACGTAATAAAGGTAAAACGTATTCATCATAATATTCCTTTTGATATAGTTTTAGAATCTTTACCAAAACAAATGGAGAAGTCATTAAATGTGCATATCTACCACGTGCTTTTTCAAAATTACTTTTAGCATTTTCTGTTAAACTGCAGAAGTTATAAACGTTATCGTATGCTTCATTAATCAAATGATTAGGTAACGAATTAATAGCTTGAAACAGTGTGAATAATGTAACTTCTTTTTCTAAATTCATGTTTCCACCGTCATTATGTACTTCAAAATCACAGATGCCATCAACTATGCTCTGGGCAAGTTTATCGTCAATGTTTACATCTTTGTTTTCATTCATAATGGTCTTTATTTCTTCGTTCTTTTGTTCAACTCTTACCTTAATATTCAACTCATTTAATATATCATTCACTGTTCTGGTTAATGTTGAATCATAACTTCCACGAATGAATGAGTATGTATTGATTGGTTCTGTTGCATTCTTGCGAACTCTTGAATCAGCCATAACCACTAAAGAACGTTTTGAATCATCCATAGAAGTCATGATATCAATATCATAATCATTGCATGAATAGCATTTAATCATTCTGTTCGAAACTGCATAGAAGAAATTAGTGTTGCAATAAATGTGAAGACCTCCTGAAGCGGTTTTAACGATAACATCTTTATCCGAAAGTTTTGATAAAATGTCTTTTCTAACTGTTTCTTTAAGTTCATCATTGTATGATTTATTGATATCAACATCTATAATCGTTAAATTTGAAATTTTATTTACTAATAAAGCTGTACCAGTTTTCCTTCCTCTTCCTCCATCATGTTTGAGGTAGTTATGTAAATCAATCTTGTTTTCACCAATTCTTTCGTTGAGGGTTTTAGTTTCTGCCACAACTAATTCCTCAGCTAATGAATCAATAACTTGTTCATCAGAAATGATAAAGTTGCTGTTGTTGTTTGTTGCTGTCATTTATATAGGAATAAAAAAAATAATTTTAAAACTAACTTTATTTTTGGACTGCATCAAATTTCCTGTGTTGTTGTCAAAATGTCATGTTGTCTCATTTTTTCAGAGAAGTTAATTAACCTGGTAGCACATGGTAACATGGTAGCACCTTCAGTTCTTCAAAAATAATTAATTATTGAATAACCTGAAAACATTAACGATAAAATATATTTTTGGTCGTTTATGACAAAAATAAATGGTTCATTTACTCACAATATTTTGTACAAAACGACCCCAAACTTTTAACTTCTTTTCTGCAGTTTCTAATGCTATCTTAGCGAGTTCATATTCTCTAAATTCTCTCTTTAAATCTTCTTGTTCCCATTGGTCTAGTTCGTATGGAGAATCTCTATAACCATAATATATCTCACGTTCATGTTCTAATTGTTTTTCACACATTTTTCTAACTTCTTGTTCGAACAAAGGTTTAGCATTCTCTACTGTATCTTCGAGTTCTTCTTCATCTAATTTCTCATGAACTTTCTTGTCTATGGAGTCCATAATATCTTTGACATAAAATGCATACTTTACAGAGCACCATTCAGCAACAAAATGAACGAAGTCAGGATGTATGTAAATACCTTTGAATTCATTTATAACACCCTTAGTAAGCTCATAAAATGCTTGTTTTGAGGTCGAGCCACTTTTGGCTTGACCGTATTCGTTCATCCAAAACTCAAGAATTTCCTGCATTTTAGTACTATTGAGAAATCTGTTTAAATGGTTTAACCTTCCCGATTCTCTTGCCATATTTGTTGCATTAATGTAACCATCCTTGTCTCTACGTAAGACTTCAATACCGTTATAAGTGCCTTTTGTGAATGTTTCGCCATTAGATTTGTTCGTGAATGTTTTTGCTTCGACTGACATTTCTGTTCTTACATACAAAATAAAAAGTTGAAAAAAATAAAACTAACGTTATTTTTGGACTGCATCAAATTTCCTATGTTGTTGTCTAAATGTCATGTTGTCTCATTTTTTCAGAGAAGTTAAATGACCTGGTAGCACATGGTAACATGGTAGCACCCTCAGTTCTTCAAAAATAATTCATAAATGCCTTCCTCCTGTGTTGTTGTCTAAATGTCATGTTGTCTCATTTTTTCAGAGAAGTTAAATGACCTGGTAGCACATGGTAACATGGTAGCACCTTCAGTTCTTCAAAAATAATTCATAAATGCCTTCCTCCTGTGTTGTTGTCTAAATGTCATGTTGTCTCATTTTTTCAGAGAAGTTAAATGACCTGGTAGCACATGGTAACATGGTAGCACCTTCAGTTCTTCAAAAATAATTCATAAATGCCTTCCTCCTATGTTGTTGTCTAAATGTCATGTTGTCTCATTTTTTCAGAGAAGTTAAATGACCTGGTAGCACATGGTAACATGGTAGCACCCTCAGTTCTTCAAAAATAATTCATAAATGCCTTCCTCCTGTGTTGTTGTCTAAATGTCATGTTGTCTCATTTTTTCAGAGAAGTTAAATGACCTGGTAGCACATGGTAACATGGTAGCACCCTCAGTTCTTCAAAAATAATTCATAAATGCCTTCCTCCTGTGTTGTTGTCTAAATGTCATGTTGTCTCATTTTTTCAGAGAAGTTAAATGACCTGGTAGCACATGGTAACATGGTAGCACCCTCAGTTCTTCAAAAATAATTAATTATTGAATAACCTGAAACCATTAACGTAATCATTAACGTAAACATTAACGTAATCATATACGATAAAATATATTTCTGCAGTTCATCCATTACTTCATTACCTTATTAATTACAGACATAAAATATATTTAGTTCATTCGGTAAGCCTAAACCCTTTGGGTCAAGTGTGTTTATTGAACTCGGTACCATGCAAATACAGTCATAAATGGAGGCATATAATCTTCACCCGAGCCTGTTGGATTTGTTGTGAAAGTGTGTGAATGATTTCCTGCGGTTCCACAGAAAATACCTGCGCTTGAATCTACTGGGTCAGTTGTGATATCATATCTATTCATTCCCCATCTATCCGAACCCGCTGCAAGATTTATATAACCTCTTTTTGTTATTGAATGTGAATGATTACCTGTTGTGTTTGTAGTTCCTGTATGAGTGTGCGGTGGAAGGTTTGCTTCTTTAATTTTCTTCGAACCTCCTGTTTGCTTTGAAGAGTTAGCACAGTATAAGAATTTGTCTACAATCTGCTTCCATGCACCAAAACCTAAAACACTTGCCGGATTTGTTGAGTTCATTGATGTATATAAAGAACCAATGGGGTAAATCATCTCAAGAATTGTATTAAATCCATTATGAATATTGAATTTATTATATAATATTGAATATTGGTGAGTATTTAAAACCGGTCTTGTTATCAATATTAACGTATTATTTTTGAAAATTGCTTTTCTAACATCTTGAAATTTTGTGATTTCAGACCAGTTTCTTCCATCACTACTGATATTTACTAAATCACCACATCCTAAAGCAATGAAATACCCATCAATATAAAATAAATTTGTAAATCTATAATTTCGAGTAAATTTTGGAGTGAATGAATAAACCAATTCCCAATTTGATAAATCCTGTGATAAATAAATATGTCTGTTATAACTTACAGGATATGAATAGACCATTCTACTTGAAACGAGAACATAAACATTTGATCCATAACATAAAGCTTCAATGTCTCCATCAGCTTGAAAAATTTGTTCAAATTGACCTTGTGATATTGAAGATGATCTATAAATTTTATCATTTTGTAGGATAAAATACATGTTGTTAATGTAATACCACTTACTTGTATAATCAATTTTCAAATCTGATGACATCATACTAAACATATAATAATTTATCCCATCCTCACTAATGAAAATTTGATTGACTTCATAAATTAGTACCCATTTATTATTAACGCATCTAATAGGATTATTTGAATATTTAAATTTAGCATCTTGATTTAAATTACATTTGAACCATTGGATACAATCGAATGAATAACAAGGGTAAAAATCATCTCCAACCGTTATCATTCCCATAAATTTACCGTTATTATATTCAACATATAAAATTATTGGATTAATGATTGGCTCTCGTGTATCAGGATTTAAAACAGATGGAGTAAATGATTCATAGTTTTTAAAATCATTTGTTTTAAAATAATAAAGCACTCCAGCTGTATAAAATAAATACATGGTCACTCCATCGAAACATATCCATTCAAAAGAATCTATATCAAAGGTTTTATCTGATGATTTCATAAAATTTAAAAATGGTGGAGTAAAATAGACCTCTGATTGTTTTATTTCTTCATTAACAAATGATATATTAGCTTTCTTATTTAACTCACTATCCACATATTCCTTATCTGCTTTCTTATTTAACTCATCATTAACATAAGTTTTATCTGCTTTAAGGTCTAAACATCCTGAAACCCATCCTGTATCAGCTTTAGTTTTTAAAATCTTTGATGTCCATTCATGATACCATTCAACCCTTTCTTTAATTTCATTATCTTTTTCATCAACATAAACCAAATTTGCCTTCTTCATTAACTCACTATCCACATATTCCTTATCTGCTTTCTTCATTATGTCATTTAGGAAACCTTCTATGAATTCCTCATTTAAATTAAATCTTCCAATCTTCAAAACTTTAGGAAATGCATTTAATGCGTAATATCTCTGTTCTTCTGGTGGAATTGATGTTATATCATCCGTTATTCCTTTAATTTTTGAATTCATAAATAAAATTTCTTTTATATTTGATATCACTGCACCACCTTTGCAAACGAATTCGAAATGGTCATTTTTCAATACTATCTCCAAATCTCCATATTTCAACCTTTGCGTTTGTTCTGCCGTCTTTGAATTATATGCATATATGGCGTATGTAATGGTCTGAGGGACCTGGGTGTTTTGTGCCTTAAGTTGCTGTGGTTGCTGTTGTTTAATCATTTATTATGATTTAAAAATAAATATTTAATCCGTTATCTCATCAGCTATTTTTTCTATTTGAAATTGCCATAATATTTCATTCATGAATTCTAAATCACAATCAAATAGGTCAGTTATTCTAAATTTAATATTTGATAAATCTTTTGAATGAAGAATAAATGAATTCCCGGATAATTGAAACGGATATGATAAAGAAAATGTGTTTAAGTTGATGGATAAAATGTTTTGTATTGATGGGTAAGAGTTAGGGTCTAATGTTTGGTGTGAAAATCTCATTGGGGTATTAACTTTATCACATTTGATTAAAATGAAATTGGAACCAGTGTCAGAATACAAAACATCCCCAACATCTTTTTCAAAATTTAATATCCCCAACAATGAACGAAGATGAGGAGTACAAAATTTAATTTTCAGCGGGAATTTAATAAGGTTATTTATTTCATCAAGTTCAAAAAGTTTATCAGGTTTTGATTTAAAATTTTCTTCATACCATACGATAAATGATTCATTTAAATAACTTAAAATCATGTTAATATCCCATTTCGCTATCACATTATTTATATACATATCATACGTTTTTTCATGGTCATCTTTAATAAATGATATATAATCTGAAGGGTCTAAAAGAATGGGATTAAATTTACCACTCACAGAAACGAGAGTAACATTATAAATTCCGCTAACTGTTAAATTTAATTCACAGTTATTATTCGAAATAATATTGATAATTGACATTTTTATTACGATTAAAAATATGGTAAAGCGTTATTTTCCAGTGATAAATAAAACTAGAATAAGATTACCTCAAGAATTCATAAATTCAACGAATAAGAAATTCATTCATGTTATAAATTTTAGTGTTTTCAGAAAATATGAGTCAATGTCATATTCATCAACAGGTTATATTTCACTTCATTCAAATTTAGTTCAATCAAACCCATATAATGACCATTTCATAAGATTTTCAGATGGTATTAAAAATGTAATTGATAGATTAAAATATGAACAGATTGACAATATCGAATTTTTGGAATTTTGGTTTAAATATCCCGATGGAAAAAAGATTGAAGTTAAAGATAAAGCTGATACTATAACAAAAACAATTACAATGACCGATCCGGATAGTGGGGAACAAAAAGAAATAAAACAAACGATAGAAACTGGTGAAAGGTCAATTATTATTGATTATGATTCAAAGGATTATTATTCGATAATGTTAATGCTTGAATATTAAATAGCCTTAACAAAGAATTTTTCAAGTGATATTTTATATTCATCAACTATTTTATTATAAATATCATTATATGTTAAATGAAGTTCAGTTGTTGTTCCGTTCTTTGATATCTTAATTGTGCTAATATCCTTTATAGGATTTATTTTTGCAACTGTTCCGCAGCATGAAACCTCATCATCTATGAAAAATTGAATCTTAACGTCTGAATCTTGAACATCACAAAGAATGGCGATAATGTGAATTAATGATTCATAAGGTAAAATAATTAAACCGGATTGGTCAATTAAATTTATTATTGAATCATAATTATTAATTATTATATCACGGTAAATTTTCATTAATTCAGAATTAATGTCTATTTTATATGGGTTCTCGATGTTTGATGAAAGAGGTGGGGGTATGTTGGATAAGTGGGAATTTCAACAGGTTCTTTACCGGGTTCAGATAAAATGATTGGGTCTCCATTCTCATGGTTTTCTTCATTCTCCTCATTCTTCGGTAAGTCACGAGTTAATAAATTTGGTTGAGTTGCTGACCTTGTTAATTCGGGGCTAACATTAACTTTAACATTTTGAATAATTCGTGATTTATCATCATTTACGTTATAACCAACCGTAATCTCTGCTTTTGCGTTAGTGTTCTTTTGACTAGTGAAACGTCTTCTCATTTATATTCGAATAAAAAAAATATATTTAAACTTTTATTTTGCTGGAACTTTTGAATCTATTATTCCCTGTATTTGTTCATGAAGTTGATTTTTAGCTTTTCATCGAAATTAATAGACCGAATATATTCATTAATTGCATTCTTATAATCATCTGATTTCTCAAATTTTCTTTTATCTGATTCCTTAACTAAATCATAAGTTAAACCTCGTTGCTGATATAATGGTTTCTTAATTAAATCTTTGAATGCTTGAGATAAAGCACCTGATGCAATTCTTGCTACTATAATTGGTTGGAATTGCTGTTTAAGTTCATCTTTAACATTTGCGAAAACTGGATCGAATAAAGCAACTTTAAAGAATTTCTTAGCTGAAATTTCAGGTCTAATATTTGCATATTGACCATCAAACTGGTTAGAATATCGTGGTAATCCATCCGGTCCCTCTTCAATAGCATTTAATTCTTCATTGAAATAAGAATATGGATTAACGGTATGAATTAATTGGACCATTTTCACCTTCTCCAATGTATTGTTTAACAGCTTTTCCATTTTCATCAAATTGCATAGGATAACGTTCATTATATGCTTTACGTTTAGGATAATCAGATATAGTTAATTTATAACCATTTATGACTTTAATATTACCTTGACCATCAGTAACGAAAACTTCATTTATACCATCAGGTTTTCCATTTGGACCCGTAATGTCTGCTTCGTGTGCTTCCCAATTTGGACCATGACGTTTGGCATATGCTTGAGCTTCTGGTAATGTTAAAACGTTTCTCATTTGTTTAACATCTTTTTGAAGACCAGCAACAATATGAACTAATTCTTTCATTCCATCAGGAACTTTCATAGTTCTATTATATGCACCCTTTTGTTTGTCCCTTGTTTTAATGGAACCTGTAGAAGATTTATTTCTGTCATGTTTAATTATAAATAAAAAATAAAAATTAATTATAAAAAGTTAATCAAATTTAACACTTCCTTTATTTAAATCAACTATTATTTTTCCATGTTCACCTAATTGCTGATATTGTGTGTAAAGTTCATTAATGCTCATTGGTAAATTCACTTGATAAAGCATAACGTTCAACTGTTGACGACTAAACCACTGAAAATGAAAAGTGTTGATAGATTTGATTTAATGTTTGTGCTTAATGCTTTGAAGTATTGAACAGCCATGAAGAATGAACACTGAATGTGTCGACATTGAGTTAATAACTGATTAAAATATGATTTCTCATTTGTTATTAGTTTTGATTTCACTGCATCATCTAGAAAAATGAGTGAATGCAAAAATTCTCTATCAAAATTTGAAATAGAAAGTGTTTCAAATAATTCATCCCGTTGTTTATCAATAATTTTATCCTCTAATCCTTGCTTCTTGATTGTATTATATAATTCTTTATACATTAAAAAGTTTTTTAAATAATCTTCTGCTTCTTCTTGTGATAAATAAATAATTGGAATTTTGATTAAATGCTTTAAAGATTCAAATGTATCATCTGAAGGTGAACCTGAACGGTTGATATAAATTAACACATGTGAATAGGGGGAAGTGTTAGCAATAATGATAATTTGTTTTAATATCGTTAATGTTTTACCTTTTTTGTTTACCAATTGCTGCAGTGATTGAATTTAAGTAACATTCAGAATATGGAATTTTCATTAATTTTTCCTTAGATAGAGCATTTCTATTATCACTCAATGCTTCATTAATCATATCATCTACGTATGTATTATATACTCCTGCTAATTCTTCATAAGGGGTGGATGAATTTAAATCCATTTAATCAAAAATAAATTTATAATTTTAAACATTTCTATTCATCAATATTTCATCATATGAACTTCTATACTGTGGTGGTGTACCTGTTGGATGATATTTCAAACCTTCATCCGGTGTCCATGTCCAATATGTAGTCCTAGTAAACCAAACCTGAGGAGGATTTGTCACCTTTGAACAGTAAGTGTCATTTTCACCCTGAATGATTGGATAAGCTTTCACTTGTACTGTAACTTGTGAGTTGAAAGTTTCTAATCCATCAAAGAATATACCCGCTCCATCACGTTGAACTGGAATAGTGCATAAGAATGAAGTTTGGTCTTTCCATGTTCTAGCTAATGGCGTGCCATCATCATCATTCAGTGGTCTAGTTAATGAGTCCTCGTATTCTTCGTGCATTCATTCACTCCATCTAAATCAGAAGCTTGAAGCATACGTGTAAAGAATATGTCACCCACTGTGGTCATCGCTTGATCGGGGAAGTTTCTGGAATCTATAGTGACCTGAAGACCTCGAAGCATTGGATTTTCTAAAACTGTTCTTGCATTGCATTCTTTGGAAATGTTAACACAACATCTGTAACATTATGAAGAGCGTATGAGAAATCTGAGCTAATACCTTCAGGAGTGATGCAACCTCCATTTAGTGAACGAACGTCAATATGTTGAGCTGGAATCATGAATGGATCTTCCTTACTAAATAAACGTGGTATTGCTTTAACTGATTCTTCAATTAAACCGTATCCTGGTGTAATGCATTTATCCTCTAAAACTTCCATCTTTGTGCATGAAATAATAACATTATCAACTGTTGCGTCAGCAGATGTGGCGGCTAAGCTTGTAATTAATTTGGCAGGAAGTCCGATTTGTTGGAATTTGCGATCATATTTATAAACATGATTCATAATCTTTTCATAATTTTATCAGTTATCTTTTCATAAACGTAATTTTGTAAATCAGCAACTCTTAACGGGTCAACCTGACAAAATACTAAAGTATCCCTGAAAACATAATATTTAAGAATGATATCACCAAATGATTTAGGATAATCATCGAACGCCTGAAATGCTAACAAATCATTTACCGGAATAATCATATCAAAAGTGACATCAACTTCTTCATTTGCGTTCTTGAAAACTTCTGAAGGGTCAATATATTACCACATACTGAGTTATCATATTTTTGAACATTATTATATAACGAATGAACAAACTTTTTAACTTTCCTTTCTGATTTTGGTTTATATGTTGCAAATGCGAAAGATTCACGGGCGCAATCCATCTGAAGATAACCAGCATCACCTCTTTCAGTTTCTACTTCTAATTGTTTAAAGCTTTGATTTGATGATTTGTAACCAACGAATAAACGCATGCATTTAAAAGCGGCATCGCATGTGAAAGCTTTATTTGAAACTAGAGTTGCTTTAACTTTGCGTTTAATATATGTGTCACCTAATTGGTTCACATCATGAGCTGGATTTGTAATTCTTAAATGAGTTTGTTTATCATCAAAATATGGAGCATCAGAGTCATAGCATGAACTTTCAAGTTCTCTATAATATCTTCTACCGTCATTCTTTGCGAATATTTCATTTATCTTTTCGAATGAATGAAACACATTTCCATTAATCGGTTTAGTGTTTGGCACCAAATAGTTAGTCGTCATTTATTAATAAATAAAAAATCAAAATTAAAAGATGAAAATGAATTTTTAATTAATATTAAATCAACTATGGCTGCAGGATTCTTTAAGAAATTATGGGATAGAGTAAAAAGAGGAGCGCATAAAGTTTGGGAAACAATGAAGAAGGGAGCAAATTGGATATTTAAGAATAAAGAAGCAATTAGTGATGTTGCTGAATCAATAACACCAAAAGCTGCCCCAATAAGAGAAATATTAAATAAAGGAGAAAAAGTTTATCAAAGACTACAACCGATACTAAGATAAAAATAATATTTATTTATTTTTTCCACTATCTACCTCCTATTTTATTAAGTATTCCTTCAGCAATTCCACAACGAACTGCGTTACCTGCTTGTGCTCCCATCGCCGGATTACCTGCTTTAGTACCTAATACTCCCACCTATGATAGTTCCTGCGTTTTCGCTACTGGTGGCCAAAAAGTTTGCAACGGGTTTAATAATCTTTTTATAAACCCAACCCGCAGCTTTCTTAATTCCATCCCATAATTTTTAAAAAAGAATCCTGCCGCCATAGTTGATTTAATATTAATTAAAAAATATATTTCATCACTTATATTCAATTATTTTATTTAATGATAAATGAAACCGATTTTTAAAAATAAATGAAACAGAGGAGGAAGAAATAAATGAAAGTGAAAATATTCAACAAAAAATAAACGTTGTTAAACCAATTACTGAAATAAAAATTTTTTCATCTGTTGAAGAATTTAATGACTATTATGCTAATAATAAAAAATTATTTGAAGAATTGACAACGTGTAAATTGAATAAAATGTTTAAAGTTGATGGATTCAAAATTTCAAAAATAAAAGGGGTGGTTAGTTTGAAATCTATTCCCCAATCAAGAATCACCTCATTAATGAAAATAGATGATTTAACAAAAAGAATAGAAGAGATTGAAGAAAGAATGAATCAAATAATTGATTTCATAAATTCAAATAATCATTAGTTTCTTAAAGTTCTATGTTGAACTCATCAAATTCTTCTTCATCATTACCATTACTTTTCAACTCTATCTTTTGATAGTCTTTCGTTTAATTTTTTTTAAAGTTTATTTTACTCGTTTATGATTCCATTCAGGATTTAAACAATGTTTAATTAATCGCGGAATATCTGACATCATCTATATATAGCTTCTTTTATAAAAGATAAAAAATAAATTATTTTAAAATTAATGTTAATTTTTTTAATGCGTTTATAAATAAATATATTTTAATGCATCGTCTATATATAGATGTAACAAAAAAGTCACACAACCCTTCATATACTACTACTTTCATTTCATATTTAATTTTTTTCAAAGGTTAGCAAAAATGTGGAATGACTTAAATGAAACACATGACTTATGCAATATGAGCGATTCAATGATAGTAACAAGTAAAAAATTCAAAATATAAATCTCAAAAAACAAAAAAAAACTGTAAAATGTAAGCGTATTAATAGGATAAACTAACAATTTTTATTGTTCATTTTCGTAAACTATATTAATATTAAATAACTTATTCGGTATATATCGAAAACTGCATAATTTTGTGAAATCTTCGCCTGGAGCTTGATTTTCATCGCCATTTTCACCAACAAAGTTGACTTCGCGTGATTTCATGAATGATTTTGATGGAAGATCAAAAGGACTTTCAAAACCAATACTATGTTTAACTACTGACATCCATGGGCAACTTGGAATAAAAACTTCCGGTGGCTCTCTATCGAAAGCCAGCGAATCGTTCTCATCATACATCATCATCTTTATTTTTTAACGCTTGATATTTTCCCCAAAAATAAATTAACGCTCCCCCAAAATTGTATTATGAATTTTTGATATCTGTTAGTAATTAAAAATAATGAATCTTCAAGTATCCAAGAAACAAAAAAGCAATAAAAGAAAGCATGAAATTTTTTGGAAAAAATTGAGAGAAAGACGTTAAAGGAATTATGCTTTGCCCAATTCTTAAGGCTTGTGAATCAAATAAATCACAACCTGATGCGGCAAAAAGCATAATATCTCAATTTATAGCAAACTTAGAAATTGATTCGGATTCTTTATCAAATATACAGCGAGATCCAAAATTTCCAGATTTCTTAGGGCTTTTATACGATATATTACTCGAAAAACCATTTCCATCACCACATGAAGAAGAAATGCCTCATGCTCAGGTTACAATTCTCACATTTTTAACAACTCTTTGTTTAGATCATCCTGATTTACTTTCGTTAATTGCAACCTATACTCCACTTGATAGATTAATACCTATATTTTTCCAGAGAAATGTGTCTAATGATACCATCTTAGATCCGCAGCCTTCTCATTTGTTATATCCAATAGAATTTATTGCTGCCTTATCGCAATCTAGCCAAGTTTTAATAACATTAACATCAGCAATTCAAATGCTCTTTTCCGTTCTTATTTCATTAGTCGAGCATCCTCAACTTTCTGCTTACAGTATTGCAGCTGTGGCAGGATTTGCTAATAATTCAGCAACAGCTTTAAGCTATTTAGAAACTATGCCTAACATTACTGCATTCAAGAGAAAAATCGCTTCATTATTAACATCTCCAGATCATAATGTCATGCTTGCATCGCTTGCATCACTCTGTGCCATATTCTCACGTAGTATTGATGCTGAAACATCAATGAAAGTAGCATTCTCCGCTTTAATAACTCCGCCATCTATTCCGTTATCAACACAACTCTCTTCGTCAATCATACTACATTTATCGCAAACCTTACAGCTTAGTTTAGACGATCAAGAGCAACTTATAAATTCTGCTTTAAAGTCAACAGGAATGAGAGCATTCATATTATTTAGATTAATTAACGAAATTGCAAGTAAACCACAATCGAAAATCTTTTCTTTACTTCAACAGCCTGATTTCTTCGCTAAATATTTTAACTTTATCATTAGCACCGAAGATAATTTTGTTGCAATTGCGGCAACTCACCTTTTGCAAGCAATTTTCGAAGAATCAAAGCCTCCAATATTAAATGAATCAATTGAAGCACCATTCCTTACATCTCTCAAGTTAATTATTAATAATACAAGAGATAATACAATCGATAAAGTTTCATCTGCATTATTAATACTCCAAATCATCATTCAAAGCCAAGATGCCCCAACATATGTTCTTAAAATGCTTCAGACAAATGAAGATCAAGTCTTCTTCGCCTTTCAGCGCTGTATTGAAAACACTTATTCATTTGCAGCAGTTCACTTTTTCTTATTCCTTTATAATGCAGCCAAATTCTTTACAAACTGGTTACTAAGACTCAGAGAAATTATTGTTGATTCAACATTTCCAGCATTACTTGTTCAATGCTTATCAGTATCCCAAAATAGAAGAGTTATATCTGATTCAATCTATGCTCTTTCTATCATCATTAATGGTGTCAAACAGAAACCACCGAATCTTAATGACTCTCTTACTGATGCTGTTATTAGTGGTTTCCTATTGATCAATAAAGAGAGTAAGAAAGAGAAATCACAAGCAATTATGAAATCAAGAGAGTTACATCAAGAATATATGCAAAAAATTAGAGAAATTGAAGTAGAAAGGGATCTAAGTGAAAAGGAATTATCAGAGCTAAAAGAAATTAGCGAGATCTCAAAGACCCAAAACGACTTCGCTCAGCAAAAGCTTGGGGATTTAATGAAATCTTATGAATCACTCAAGCAGAGATATAATTCTAAGAAGGAAAAACTAAAAAGAGCTGTTGTTGAACTCAAAAATTCAGATACTGAATTGCAGAATTTGTCAGAGCAATTATCAAATTCTGAACAAGAAATTGATAGAGCAAATAAAAAGATTCAGAAACTTCAAACTAAGATGTCTGTTTATCAAGAAACAGAAGCCCAATTTAGTCAACTGTCTGAAACTCATGCTGATACGGAAGAAAAATTCCAATCAACAATTCAAAAGTTGAGAGAAGCAGAAGAAGAAATTGATTTATTACAAGCTAAATTAGCTGAAGAAAAGAAGAAGAAAGGTGTGGTTGACAAATTATTAATTGAATCGCAGCAAAAGACAGATGTATTAAACAGTGATGTTGAAAAATCTAGATCGAAGATGAGAGAAGCTCTGGAAAACTTAGAGAAAACACAAATTTTGCTCAAGTCTAAATCAGATAAAGAATTGCAAATAACTGATGAACTCAAGAGGCTCAGAGAAGAAATTAGTGCGTTAAAGAAGACAAATGATGGTCTCAAGGCAGAAAATGAGCATTATTCAGATTTGATCAATATTCAGAATTCAAGAATAGCTAATCTTAAGAAAGATAAAAGAGAATTAATTGCTTTATCCCAGATGATTCATAAAATCACTAATGGACAAGGAATTCCTGAAGCAGGTTTAACAGAATTGATAAACGAAAATATGTAAGTGTTATTGTATTGAATATAATTGTTGTAGAATAAATATTTTATGTAAGACTCTTAAATAATGTGTTTATCCTGGAAATGACAGTTGTCATGCAGAAACTCTGTAGTATTTCATTGTAATTGTTCTTTCCAATGTCATTAAAGTTTTCGAAAGTCACTTCTGTTAGACAAAATGTATCAAAATCTTTAAGCTACGTGATATTTTTTGTTTTTTCTAAAATCGTGTAGGATATGAGCTTAAATCTTATCTTATTTAATAGGATAATGAATCTTATCCATCATCGAATTTCAGGCCATTAAGTGGTTCCCCTGTTTGTCTCTCTTCTAGTTTGACTTTTTCTTGTCGAAAATGCTGTGAAGGAGCGGATTCAACAGCATCTTCATGTAATTAGCTTTTGACAACATGTTTTTAGGATTCTACTGGGAATCTTATTGCTGTAGCTTTCTTGAATATCATCATATTCAGGTAATTCCTTAGTTTCAGCTGTTTGGAATCAAAAAAATAAAATCTTTACGTTTCTAATTATTCCAAGTACTCTAGTTATTTTACACTTAGGGATTTAAAAACGGTTTCGCCAAATAGCGAATTACTGAAAATTCGCTAACTCAGCCTGATTTTTTCGAATTCGGCGAACTCAAAAAGTGACATAAATTATGCATACTCTCGCTATAATCATTCATAATTTTTGCATATGTCAAATAGTTACAGTATGCTAATAACTTTATTACGTATAGTCATGATGTTCATGATAACTATTTTGAATTTAAGTAAATAATTGACAGATTATTGGCGTCAATACTTATTTTTGGAAACTTATCATATAACTTCAAATATATTAATACAGTACAATGCAAATACTGTAATGACTTCTCGTGTTTTTTAGATAATCTCGGTCATATCTTTTATTTATCTCATAATATTGAATAATTTCTTCTTCTTTTCAATTATCTTTTTATACAAGTAAATTATATTATTAGAAATGCTGAATAATTGAGAAAAACCTAAATATTTGCAAATATTATCTAATTTTAGATATATTCCTCCACAATATCATAAAGGAATAGATCCCAAATAATATTAATATTATTAAGTATGAGTGTACGGAAAAGGCAACAATTTATTTCATTCAAATTTTTCATATTAAAACCATACCATTTCTTAAAGCGCACATAAAAACTGTTTATGTTGTGAGTAATAATTTATAACAAACTTAATCATAAAGTTCTTATTTTGAATTCAAATTTATTCTGTTTAGTTAGTATGAGAATAAATTGTTATGATTTAAACAAACTAACATCAATAGAAGCTAATTTTGCAATCAGCATAAATAATTTTTAATCATGAACAAATATGAACTTTATTGTCATAATATATATATTCATTCAATATATTTTGCAAATTGATAAGAAAATTGGAAATATAATATTGTGCTTAACGTCTTCGCCATTTTGTAAAGTAAAATTAAGAGGAAAACGATAATCCCAAAATAAAAATAATAGCCCCTATCTTAAAATCATGAAGATTACCACCCAATAAAAATGTTAGACCCTTTATTAATAAAAAACGAAAATTCCACAAAATAAAAATATCAGACCCTTTTACATGGTTTCGAAATTGAAAAATGGCGAATTCGCCAAAAAATTAGAAGTGGCGCAATTCGCCATTTTGCGAACTTTTTTTTAAATCCCTAAGTAATATCATTTTACATGATATTAAATTATGATTTTCATGCGACCTTTTTCTCTAATTTTGAGCAAATTTAATTTTCATTTTCCTCAAAATTCTGTTTTTTGCTCTACTTTATTTTATTTAGAGTTCATCAAATTATTATTTTCTTTTTCAAGTGACCTCTGAGCTTTATGCTGTGTGTGTTTTGTTTTATATAAAAAGATATATAAGATATATTATGAAAAACTTTTTTTGATAATTGTCGTTATTTTAGTGTGTGGAATATGTGATGACATGTCGTTTTATAATAACAAAAGAAATTCTAATAATAATTTTTGATTTTTAGATTTTTGCTTTAAGGGTGCAGACGGGAGGATCATGTAAACTTCAGAAATTAGAACATTATTTTTAGGCATTATCTTGGGTACCTATTTAGGTATCAAAACAGTAGTATATGTGGAAGGGTTGTGTGACTTTTTTTGTAAACGTAAGAATTCATACAATATTGAACGATTTTGTATCATTTTTTTTAACATATGAAGTAAAAAATGTATGATTCTTACGGTTTTTATTCTTACGTTTTTGAATAAATCAAGATTTAAAAAATTTTCAAAATTGTAAGACATTTACACTCAACCCATACATAATGTAATGAAAAATAAAAGAAGCTATATATATAGATGATGTCAGATATTCCGCGATTAATTATAGAATTGTTTAAATCATGAATGGAATCAATGGAGTCATAATCGAGTAAAAGAAATTAGAAACTAATGATTATTTGAATTTATGAAATCAATTATTTGATTCATTCTTTCTTCAATCTCTTCTATTCTTTTTGTTAAATCATCAATTTTCATTAATGAGGTGATTCTTGATTGAGGAATAGATTTCAAACTAACCACTCCTTTTATTTTTGAAATTTTGAATCCATCAACTTTAAACATTTTATTCAATTTACACGTTGTCAATTCTTCAAATAATTTTTTATTATTAGCATAATAGTCATTAAATTCTTCAACAGATGAAAAAATTTTTATTTCAGTAATTGGTTTAACAACGTTTATTTTTTGTTGAACATTTCCACTTTCATTTATTTCTTCCTCCTCTGTTTCATTTATTTTTAAAATTGGTTTCATTTATCATTAAATAAAAATTAGAATATAAGTGATGAAATATATTTTTTAATTAATATTAAATCAGAAATATGCTATTACAAAAAGAAGCCGCAATGCGGTGGGGTTGAAAACAATAAAACTAATGGAACTGAAAACGATAAAGAGAGGAAAGAAATAATCGAAAAATTAGAAACTTACCGTTCAATCATTAAACTGAGTGAAGCAAAAATAAAAGAATTTAATAGAATAAATAAATTGGTTGGAAGAGATGAATTTAATAAAGATGAATTTTTAAACTCTATCCAAATTTAATTTTTATTCCTCTTCGACAACATCTCTCTTTCCATCATTACTGCATAACCACATTTTCTCAATTTTAGTGGTTTGTTATTTTTAGCAAGTTCTCGCATCATTTTTATCGTTTCCTCCCTTGTTATGATTCGTGGTAAATTTTGAGCTTGTGGGGTATTCATTTATGATAAAAATAAAAATTTAAATTATGCCGTTCGCTCTTTTGAGCTCAGGACTTTCAGTCCGTTCTAAAGTTTGTGACAACATGACATTTTGACAACATCATGGGTTATTCAATAATTAATTATTTTTGAAGAACTGAAGGGGTCACCAGGTCACCAGGTCACCAGGTCATTTCACTTCTCTGAAAAAATGTGACAACATGACATTTTGACAACATCATGGGTTATTCAATAATTAATTATTTTGAAGAACTGAAGGGGTCACCAGGTCACCAGGTCACCAGGTCATTTCACTTCTCTGAAAAAATGTGACAACATGACATTTTGACAACATCATGGGTTATTCAATAATTAATTATTTTTGAAGAACTGAAGGGGTCACCAGGTCACCAGGTCACCAGGTCATTTCACTTCTCTGAAAAAATGTGACAACATGACATTTTGACAACATCATGGGTTATTCAATAATTAATTATTTTTGAAGAACTGAAGGGGTCACCAGGTCACCAGGTCACCAGGTCATTTCACTTCTCTGAAAAAATGTGACAACATGACATTTTGACAACATCATGGGTTATTCAATAATTAATTATTTTTGAAGAACTGAAGGGGTCACCAGGTCACCAGGTCACCAGGTCATTTCACTTCTCTGAAAAAATGTGACAACATGACATTTTGACAACATCATGGGTTATTCAATAATTAATTATTTTTGAAGAACTGAAGGGGTCACCAGGTCACCAGGTCACCAGGTCATTTCACTTCTCTGAAAAAATGTGACAACATGACATTTTGACAACATCATGGGTTATTCAATAATTAATTATTTTTGAAGAACTGAAGGGGTCACCAGGTCACCAGGTCACCAGGTCATTTCACTTCTCTGAAAAAATGTGACAACATGACATTTTGACAACATCATGGGTTATTCAATAATTAATTATTTTTGAAGAACTGAAGGGGTCACCAGGTCACCAGGTCACCAGGTCATTTCACTTCTCTGAAAAAATGTGACAACATGACATTTTGACAACACAGGAGGATTAATGAGGAAGGCAAAAATAAATTCAAATCATACTTTATACTGCCTCATTCACAGGTATTTCATCGTCAGTAAATGATTCCTCATTATCGTTTGGTTCAATTTGTTTATATAATCCTTTCATTTCTTCTTTCAAAACATAATACCATGTTTGTTTACCATCTATTTTTCTTTGTTTCCTTTCACATTTATCCTTAATGCTCATTTGAAAGTTTTTGTCTTTCATGTCTGATGGTTTGCAGAATAGAGCATTTTTACACGTCATACCTGCACATAATTCATCATAATGTGTATTTATCCATTCATCTAAAGGATTTGTTGATAATTCAATTAAATCTTGTTTGGCTTCAGTCATCGGAATGATTCGTACATTAAATGATGAAAGGTCATATTGCATAAAATATGTTAAAAGGTTATCATAAAATTCCTTAGTGCATGAATCCATCAAATTCTTGAAGTAATCAAATTGACCCTTGAATTTACCATTAACTCTTAAAACTACGTATCTTCTGTCTCCAACTTCAATTTTGACAGGGTAAACGTTATTAGTTACGAAAATGAAGTTTGCAACATTCTGAGCAGTTCTTCTGGGTTGATTCTTTTCATTAATTCTAATCTCATTATCCGTTATAATTGATTTCAAAGCGTTGAAGTTTGCGAGTCTGTCTTCACCTACATTCTTGAGTTCATTAAGTACAA